AGTGCTATGACTGTCATTGTGGCCTTGTTTCAACCGATCAAGCATTCGAAGCCGCCAACTTGGCATCGCGCTATCGCTCAAAGCAAGCAGACGATCGTCGTCACTGTGGACAAGCAGCTCGGCGGCAGCAGCCGTGTACACACCGCTGTCAAAGTTGTTGCGCTGGTGCAATCGGACATGGTTGACACGCCACTGCCACCCGAGCTTGTTCTGAAGATCGTCTCCGAACCAGCCCTCGGTACTTGCGTTGGCGCGACTTGCCTCATTTGCGATGAACTTGATGAGAAAAGGGAGCCAAGCTTCGCCCCGGCCGAAACCGAACGAGTCGTATGATGTGATGACACGGGCCGACAAGTCGACGACGATCAGGAACCAATGACACTCGGGTATGTTGTACGGGATGAAGACGAGCTCGAAGTCAAACCACTTGGTGGGAAAGGTGCAGGTTGCGAGGTAGTGCTTCGATTTCTTTGTAAACGCCTCGTACAACGACCACTGCGCGGACGACACAAAATGGAAGACGTAGGGACCATGAAGCATCGACGCGAAATTCATTAGAAGTACAAACCACGCGTTTAATGGCTACATACAAACAAAGTAAACAACCTCCTGCGTAATCACGAGGCAATGACCTCATCCTTCAGGCGCTCGTCACCGACGAGGGATTCCAGAACGTTGTCTGTTATTTCAACGGCACCTATCCAAGAAAAAGCCGTAAGATACCATTACAAATCCAGAACAGAGCGTACCAATACGGACGATGCCCTTCGTGGTCGTGGTGACGTCGTACTGTGTTCTTGCTCTCTTCCTTGCTGCATTTTCCGGCTCGGTTGTCGTACCTAAACACATTAAAAGCAGTCGTTGTCGTCGTCGTCGTCGTCGTCGTCGTGCGAGAGCAAAGCCTTCGGGGCGTGGCTGTGGCCTGGGCGACCAGAATAGATGACCAAGCCTTCATGCGCCTCCTTGATGGAGACACCGGCATCGCATGCCCTCCTGTACTGGTTGCATACGAGTCGGTAGCCGGAGCCACCTTGGAACTTGCCCTTGAAGATGAACTGCACGCCGCAGCTGTTACTAAACCAAGCGATGCGCGCTTTGAGCTCGTCAACGTTGGCAAACACTTGAATACCGTTTTCCTTGAACGGGCGGCACCATTTGCGGCCGCGAGGCTTGCGGGGGGCATGAGCTTGGGGACCTCGAGAAAAACTTGGAAAATAACTATGCACAGCATACAACGCTCAAAATTTTCGTCGTCTAATTGTTGGATACTATATCAGATAACGTGCTACTACATGTGGTACTAATACACTTTTCTATCTCAGGCGTAATGACACTACCTATATACGTGCTAACCTGGGCATGTTTTTACGCGTTGCGCTAGAAAAATGCAGCGAGATCCTCAGTCACCCATCATCACTGATATCCAGTGTGTGTGTTGGGTAGGATCAACCCTACCCCTATGATGTGCTTCTGAGCCAACCCATTACTCTCTCGACACGACCGTTGGACGATAAACTTAACGCGGCACGCACAGTATTTAATTTGAAAAACTAGCCATTTACAACACTTAAGGCGGTAGGAAAGTTACCCAATGTGTGGTCCAATCAAAGCAAGACCCTTTCACAATTTTCCACACAAACATCAATTATTTTTGTGAAAAGAAGTAGACAGCCCACGAACAAGCCTCGTAGCATACAAGCTCCGAATGCAGAGCATTACTGAGACACGTCCACAAATAAAATTATGTCAAATGACAAAACTGGGTTAATTTTGCGCATTTTGGACAAATCTGGCATTATGCGATTTGAGCTCTACTGGCACCACCGCCATCAACCATGCCTTTATCGCTCCAAGACTACTCCCTCACGCGCAAGCACGCGGTCCGGGCCATCAAAAACCACGCATTTTTTGAGAACAAGCGGGCCGTCATCGATACGGGGCATCATCATCAACGCCAAGAGGCACTGCGGCTGCGGCTTCAACGCTAGTCTCGAAGGTCTCGTGTGAGAAGCGCAAGCTAGCATGACGGAGTCCGGCTACCGCAGCACACTCGGCATTCTGCGCTTGTCTTCGTCCAAAGCCGCCGACTACTTCGAGGCCATCGACCCGACAGTCTGGGCTCTGCATCCTCATCTGCACACGATGGCGCTGCACGGGTGGCGCACCTCCAACTTTGTCGAGTCCTACAACAGCGAGGCTCTACCCGCCCGAAATCAGGACCCATTCAACTTTTTTGTCAGCCAAATGGACGACATGATGACAACGGCCTACACGCACAGAATGTTGGCCGCCAAGTGGAGTCGCGATAAGCGGGCTGTGACGCCCTACGCATCGAGCCTCATACAAGTTCAGGCGGACCAAGCCCCTCGTTACAAAGTCCTTCAGAGCTCGAGCACCATCGTCTACGTCAAGGCGGCAGGGGCATCGGCGGCGTCCAAGCGGCGTGTGGACATGGCTGCTCGTACGTGCACTTGCGGGGACTGTTCTGGGTTTTCGACCCTTCGACCTGCATTGCGCAACCCACGACCCTTCGACGCACCTCTTCGCGCGATCCTTCTACAAAACTAGTGTTCTATCGATGTTTAAGGTGCATTCTACGCTACCAATACACCACTCTTGAATTAGCCAAGCTTGAGTCACCACACCAATCCCCAAGGTGAGAACAGGGACATGTTCCAAATGGCAGTGCCATGTCGGCACTACATTCGTGCACTGATGCATCTGGATAAGATGGACGCCTTGTACGAAGTTTGCCTACCATTCTTCATGGTCGAGCACATCAACAAGATCCGGGACGGTATTGGTGGCATCGATGTTCCCGTGCTTGACGAGCTCACGCGCAGCGCCACAGTGAAGCCACCGCCGCGAACGGTTCGCAGCGGACGCCCCAAGATGCGTCGCTTCCGTAGCCGTGGCGAAGATGGTCCTCTTGGATTGACACGCTGCTCGTATTGTAGAGTCGCGGGACACAACAAGAGAAGTTGTCCTAATTTTCATTAACCCTAAGACGATTGCGTTTTCCAGTTCGATATCGACGTCTTTCTATCCATGAAACAGTATGGCATCATCGTGAAACCGTTATGGCATCATCGCATGACATTTACGACCCCGCCACTGCACTACTCTGCACCACTGCACTACTCTGCACCACTGCACTACTCTGCACCACTGCACCACTGCGCCACTCTGCACCACTGCGCCACTCTGCACCACTGCGCCACTATGCACCACTCTGCACCACTGCACCACTGCACAACTGCACTACTGCACCACTGCACCACTCTGCACCACTCTGCACCACTGCACCACTTGCACCACTTGCACCACTTTGCGCCACTTTGCGCCACTCTGCGCCACTCTGCACCACTCTGCACCACTCTGCACCACTGCACCACTGCACCACTTGCACCACTTGCACCACTTGCACCACTTTGCGCCACTTTGCGCCACTCTGCGCCACTCTGCACCACTCTGCACCACTTTGCGCCACTCTGCACCACAACATCACTGCGCCACTGTGCCATTGCACCTTTATTTCACGACTCGCCATGGATGTTTAAAACGTTTTGTCTTCTTATCTGTGATTTTGTATAAGTATAATACATGTATAAAACACCCTGTTTTGCTTGCGTCAAAACAGGGTGTGAGCCCTGTGTCATAAGTGAGGGACCCTTCGTCTACCCAGATTTGTCATTTGGGATCCAGTTTTGACGAACATTCCAATATTACACCCAGTTTTGTCATTTTCCCACGAGTCTAACGGGTCTTGACAGGTCGGTGTATAGTCCATCGGTCTGTTTATGACACCACCATCTATTGTGATAATCAGCATTTTTGTCGCCCCGAAATGGGGTCTAATTCGTTGACGTTGTTTTCTACCGGATGCTGCCGGACGAATAATTCGTTTGGAGGAGGACCGCTAATTCGTCCGGATACGTATCGCCGAACTGCTAAAACGTCCTAGCGTAATATAAATCAATTCAGGACGGAATAACATGAAAAATGTATTGATCAGCCCCTTACTTAAATAAAAATAAAAAGGCCTAAAAACATTGGCGAAGGCAGTGCAC